TCACACCACACTCAAGCCATAGCATTCACCCCCTCTGGACACTGGATTCTGAAATTCCCACAGCTCTCTGGAAGTCCTTGAGGTGCCCTTGGATGTGGGATGCTCCTCTAGCATGTGGGGCCCCTGTAAGAATTCTTGTTCAAGAAACCATCTCCCGGCCCAGAAGTCAGTCTCTCTCTTTCATCTCTTGCTCTCTGTGTCTCTGTCTTTCCTCCACTCCCGGATGACCCAGATAGTAAAACTTGAATTGTCTCCTGTCCTATGGCAATGATTCCGCTTGCCGTCCTTAGGCCAGAGTGGCATGAGAGTCCCTCAGGGCAAGGGCAAGGACTTGCCCATTGCACTTTAAGCAATGCAGTTGACTTTAGAGGCGGGCTTATCTCCTCTTCACTCCCTAACCACTTAGAAATCCATCCCAAGGAACACCTAACACAAAGCTTAGCCTATCGCTTCCTTAAAAAGACTGATAGGGAGCCAGAGGGGGTGGTGACACACCCCCAATCCCAGCACCAGAGAGGTGGGGGAGGCAGAAAGGAACTCAAGAGTTCCAAGCTGAACGGCGGCGGCGCACGCCTTTAGTCCTAGCACTCAGGAGGCAGAGGCAGGCGGACCTCTTCAGAGCCTGGTCTATAAAGTGAGTTCCAGGACAGCCAGGGCCATACCGAGAACCCCTGTCTCAATCCCCCTCCCCCACCACCCACACAGTTCCAGCCCAGCCTGAGCTCCGAAGTAAGAAAACCCTGAGAGGGCCGGGACTTGCATTCTCTCTGCCCCATTCAAAGTCACACCAGACCCCTGCTGCCTCTATCAAGCCCAGTTCCCCTCAGTGTATACTCCACAAAACAGAGCCCCTGGGGCTCAGCCCTGCTGGAAGGCTGTTTTGTAAAACACAAGCCCAGACACCATGGATGCATCTAACAGAGGAAATGTGGCTCAAAGGAAGTCTGCCCACACAAACAGGGATTGCAGAATTCCCCCGCCATCCCCTTTGAAAGTGGACAGAGCTAAGGCATTAGAAGTTTCTCTTCCACTGTGGGGACTTCTGGAATATTCTGCATGTTGCTTACACAGATGTCTGTATTTTGTGTGCCAAACCCCAGTAGAATGGCAACAAATTCAAAATATAATGAATAGATTTCTAGAAGATTTTTTTTATTTTTACTTGTTTGTGTGTGGGTGTGGGTACTTGAGACCAGAAGAGTATATCAGATGCCCTAGAGCTGAGCTATTTCTCCAGTTCCCCCTCCCCTTAATACAATAAATATTTAAAAACAAAACAACCGAGTGAGAATAAGACATAAAATCAGGAGGATAAAGTGTAAATTTGCACGCCCAGTCTGGGCAAGATGGCCACTCAAGCCTGATGACCTGAGCTTCCTTCCCGGAAGCCACAGAGCTGGAAGGTGGGAACCAACTCCAGACTAGTCATGACTCCCACGTGGCGCTGCCCCATGACAATAATACAAATGTATTTGTATTTTATGTACACTGGTGTTTTGCCTTCATCCATGTCTCTGTGAGGGTGTTGGATCCCCTGGAACCGGGGTTACAGACAGTTGTGAGCTGTCATGTGGGTGCTGGGAATTGAACCTGGGTCCTCTTAACTGCTGAGCCATCTCTCTCCAGGCCTAATAAACCAAACGTTTAAATAATAAAGTAAAAATTACCTGAGAAAGCTGGGCATGTTGGCCCATGCATGCAAAGCTGACTCTTGAGCTGAGCCAGGATTATTCCAAATTCAAGGCCAGTTGAAGATGACACAGTGAGCTGAAAGCCAGTGGGAGCTACACACAGTGGGAGACCCTGTCTCAAACAAGAAAAACATACCCCCAAATCTCACGAACAGAAACAGCCTTCCTTCTCTAAGTACAGCCCCGCTGATTCGAATGGTAGGCCAGGTAGATGTCATGGAAGCTCTCTGCTCAGGCCAGGACACCGGCTCTCGCCTGTCTTTCCTCCAGTCTTGCGGCCTTCTCCGCAGGGACATCCATTACAGCCCAGTGGATGCTACAGTCCACAAGCTGGATATGTAACGCCCATTAGGCACAATGTTGGTGCTATTTGGGGGTGGGTCTGTGGGAAATAACATGCGTTTGTGTCTCACCTCAAGCCTCCACCGTGCTGTGGTAGAGCAAGGAGGCCTCCCCAGACGCCTGTCTCGGCTTGCACTGACCAGCCTTCAGAACCTTGAACTGCAAACCCTGTGCTCCCTCTCTCCTCACCTCTTCCCTCACTCTCTTATTTTTTGTGCTGGTTAGATTCTCTTTCCTTTCCTCCTCCCTCCCTCAGAACCCAGGGTCTCACACATATTAAGCACAGGAGCGACATCTACATTACTCTTCTCCCCCCCCCCCATTCTATAGCCCAAAGGGACCTACAACTCGCTATTGTAACCCAGACTAAGTATTTCCAGCAATCTCCCTGCCTCAGCTCCTTGAGTGCTGAAATTATAGGTGTGAGCCATCATCACCCCTGGGTGAAATTTTTAATCTTTATCTTTTCTTTTCTTTCTTTATTTTTTCTTTTTGGTTTTTTGAGACAGGGTTTCTCTGTGTAGCTTTGGAGCCTGTCCTGGAACTCACTCTGTAGACCAGGCTGGTCTCGAACTCACAGAGATCCTCCTGGCTCTGCCTCCCGCGTGCTGGGATCAAAGGCGTGCGCTACCACCGCCCAGTTAATCTTTATCTTTTAAAAAAAAAAATGTATTTTATTTGTTTGTTCATTCAGTGTGTGTGTGTGTGTGTGTGTGTGTGTGTGTGTGTGTGTGTGTGTCTGTCTTCTGTGGCCCTTGTGTGGGTTAGAGGACAACTTTCAGGAGTCAGTTTTCTCCTTCTACCATGTGGGTCCCAGGGATCCAACTCAAGCAAGCGCCGCCTTTACCTGCTGAGCCATCTTGGGGCCTATTTATTGTCCCCTGAGACAGGGACTCAGACTGGCCACAAATTTGCTATAATAATTCATGTTGGCCTTGAACTCCGGATCCTCCGGTTCTCACTTTCTAAATGCTGGGATTATAGGCATGGCCTAGCATTTCCAGCTTAAATTTCTATTTATAAAGTATCTGGTCTCCAGAATGCTATGCAGTGACAGACAATGTCCCTGGAGTGGCCACTTTCCTCTGTCCCCCACCTTACCATCCGGTAATGCAGCCCGGGAATCCTTGATCTGGCCAGCACACTTCACTGCTCCTTCATCACCAAATCCTGCATCCTTTGCTCTCTGTAGCATGACTCATCCATTGCTTGTCATCCAATGCCCTGCCTGCCTAGCACAGCCTCTTGTCAATGCTGTGGCAATGAGTGCCTGACAGGTGCCCTTTTCCCGTTCCTGACCCTTTGGCGTCCGCTCTCTACACAGTGGCCTGTAGCTCTACCCCACCTGCAAGACACACACTCAGCTGTGTACAGAGGCCAGTCCAGGCGCTACCTACCCCGTGGGGACAAAGCAAATGGCTGCCCTCAGGACATTTGTGTTTCAGCAGGGCAGACGGCAGCTGAACAATCCAGGTAACGGGTCATACAATGCTCCAAGATGGTGGACAGCGGACGCAATAGAAGAAGTGAGAGCAGAGGAAGGGCACCTAAGAAGTCGAGTGTAGGGAGAGGTCTGCATGATTCCGAGGTGAGCAGAGGAAGCCTTGTGTGAGTGAGTGTGCAGGTGCACGTGTGTGCCACAGCGCTAGTGTGGAGGCCAGAGGACCACTTACCAGAATCGGGTCTCTCCCGCCAGGGATTGAACTCTGCCTGTCAGGTGTGGTGGCAAGCACCTCACCAGCTCAAAGCCTTTTGGAGACATAAAATGGTAGGAAAACTGGGAAGGAGGTGAGGGGTGAGTCAGGTGGATTTCTGCAGGAAGTGTGTTGGAGGCAGAGGCACAGGCCGTGTGCGAAGGCCCTCAGGAAAGGGGGTGCCTGCTCTGTGAAAGGGGGAAAACCAGGCTCCTAGCATGGCTACACTAGATAGGAGGAAGGCTCAGGGGTGTGGGGAAGCAGGTCCTGTGGCCTGCCTCTGTGGAGCTTCAGGGCATTCCTTATGGAGCTAAAGATGAAAGACCTCAGCCAGCTCCCCTGCACATGCCCTGACCTTCACTGCGGGGTTGTTTTCAGCCCCTGCTCACTTTGGGGCCTACCCAGAGGCTGTCCTGCTCCCTTTCCCTTAGTTCCCTTTGCCCAGGCCCCCGGAGTTCTGAAAAAAGCACGCGCTGCTCCCAAGAGCCCTCCTCCAGACCACCGTCCAGGCCCCGGGTTAGGGCCTCACCACCTCACACTGCCCCTTGCCCGCACCCCACTCTCTCCCGCCTCTTGGCAACTCAGCACCACACCTATGATCCAATGATCGACTCGCATGGTGGGTGGGATATTTGAGGGCTCGTGCCTCTGCACCATGAGCCTCCCTGGATGCCAGAGGCCCAGTGGTGACCAGAACCACTACCAAGCCTATCCCTAGGAGATGAGCCACACAAAAAGCAAATCAAAACCACTGTGGGAGATGGTGAGCAGGCTTACACAGATGACCCAGGACACTGCAGGCTCATAGTGCTGGAACAGAAGAACACCTTCAGTCAGGGTGGCCCAGGAGGTCAGGAAATGACCGCAGGCTGAGAAGGACTCACGAGTTGGATGAGTCTCTAACAAGGATAGCTCCGGGGTTAAACAAACTCCAAGTACATAAGCCCTGAAGGACAACTGACCTTGGCTCCCATCCTGGATAATTTTTTTTTTTTCAAGACAGGGTTTCTCTGTGTAGGTTTGCGCCTTTCCTGGAACTTCCTTTGTAGACCAGGCTGGCCTCGAACTCACAGAGATCTGCCTAGCTGTGCCTCCCGAGCCATCCTGGATAATTTTACGTCAATTTGACACAAGCTAGAGTCATCAGAGAGGAGGAAGCCTTAATTGA